AAACTATGGCTGAAACCGACGTGATGACATGAAAAATGTATGCTCAACATTCAACTTTCTCGCTGAGAGTCAGACGAGAAGATCAATACCACTCTCATGTCTGTATGCTAAATGAAGCTGCAGCCAGAGGCATGTAAGGATAGCTTAGCTGAAAGCCTGGCTCTTTAAAAGGTGAGAGAAATCCAAGCAGCAGCACCACTAAGGCTCACTAATTAACACATTATAGCTGATTTGTTTAATCTATATAGTTTCCCTTGTTTCCACCTAGAAAGCAAATAAACATTCTCCCTCCAAAAAAAAACTATTTCTTAAAACTAAATTCGAATCCTGTTGCATTGAATAATGTTCCATCATTCTCTCAGTTGCCATAGCTCATAGAATTAAGTTGTTTATTTCCTTTACTGAAATGTCTGCACAGCCACTCCTCTTCCAATAACCACAAGCTATATAGCCTTGGCAATGCTTTTTTTTTCCCCCAAAAAAAGGATAATAAGCCATATGCTAAAATGAGTTTAATTTGAAGACAACATAGAGAGACAACTGAAAGACTGAAGGATGAGATGGCAAAATGAGAGAGAACTACTCCGAGGGAACGAAGGAACAGCCAGAGAGCTCAGATGCTGATGGAGGATGGAGTGGGATGGAAGGGCAAGCAGAGAGGGAGGGAGAAACAGCAGGGAAGACATGAAAGAGAGGGAGAAAGATGCGGAAGGAAAGGCGAGTGGGTGTTCGTAAGGGTGAGACACAGCGAAGAAAATGATGGAGTTGGCACTGAGGAGCAAAGGTAAAGAAGGGGAGTGATGAATTTGGAGGAAGGGTTCAGCAAAGGCCTTGGATCCAATCAAAAGACTGTTTTTGATTCTGTTTTTCATTTCACCTAAAATAATTTTTCAATAGTCACTTGCTCATTGCTAAGAACCAACCTTGGTCTTTGAATAGGTACTTGTTTTGAGCAAAACACTTCTCCCTGGCCCCTGGTGAACTGTGCGAGCTCGCTGCAGCTGGAGCTTTGGGGAACCCGGCGTTGTGGGATTAGCTGACTGTGTTTCACGCTGGCAAAACCATGAAAAATTATTCAGGCTACTGGAGATATGGTTTCGAGCTAGACACCTGATTGTTTAACATTGCTCGAGATATTTAACCCCACTGGTGATGGAGCAGGACCAGATTTTGGCTGCAAGAATAGAATAATTCAGTAAAGTAACCTTACAATTTTTGAGGGATTTTATTTACTGGCTGATGTTTGAAATAAAGCTTAGTTGTAAATATTGGTTGGTTAAGTTAGACTAAACTGTCATGTCATAAGAAATGAATTAAAAATCAAGATTAATCATATACCTATATGTGTTGTAGCACTGAATATACACAGGATAGCTTTCATAACTATGACTTATTTTCTTTGCATCACTTGTATCCTATCAAAAATTTAAAATGTTTGCAATTTTCTCCGTGTGTGTGTGTGCGCGAAAAGCTGACTTTGACAGCTCATTGGTTGTTTCTGGGAAGAATTTTCCTTCAAAGCTTTCAAATAATGCGGTGGGACACTGAAAGCCAGGAGAAGTATTGACAGCAACCATCATAAATATATGATACATTACTAGATGAAATTATAACTGAAATTTCAGCTTGGTACACACCAGTTCTCTCAAGAAATAAAATATTGATCAGGATTGATATCGAGGGTGTGGGTATTACAAAAAAAAAAGAAAAGAAAAAACTGTTTTACAACCTGTGTGAGATCTCAGTGGTAGCTCTGTTTACAAGAAACAAGCAAGAAACACTTGCAAAAAAAAAAAAAAAACACACACACACATACAAAAAAAACAAAAAAAACGCTCACATATACAGAGCTCACAGGTGCACAAGGTCACACCAAATGCGTGAAGTGAAACAAAATTCCTCAGAGATGCTTATTTTTCAGAGGCTGACCAGAAATGCTCAACAGTAGCTCGACGTGCGCACATTTCCTGTAAGCGCGTAAACAAACGTATAACTGTCTTTGAAAAACGCTAACAAATTCAACGTGAGCTTTATCTCAAAAACACAAACTTGTAACTACACATGAAGCTCCTGACAAATGCATAACAAAACCCGCATGTGTCAAGCCCTTCACAAACTCATACATATATGCAAAAGGGTTCTCACATGCACACACGTGCAGTGCGGCTGTTTGCCTCCCACATGCAGTGTTTGTGACGCATAGGAAAAGTCATTAGACCCGCACTTCCTCTCCAAACAGAAGAGAAGGAAGAAAAGACTGTCTTACATGAAACACACAGGAAACGTGTGGGTGACTGCCTGTATATGTGTGTGTGTGTGTGAGTGTGTTGGATTGTGTATTTGTATGTGCATGTCTTGCGGTCTGAAGTTCTGCCCTTAGGGTTGGTGACCAAGGTCTTGTAATTGCTTGCCTTTGATTGCTTTCATTGAGTAGACTACAGCTACAATTACAACCAATTAAACCACTCAGATAAGGGTTGGCTTGCTCAGCAGACAAAGTTGCAGACCAAATGATCTTGTGGGTTCAGCATTTGTCCAAACCCTCTTTCCCCTTAATTCGCACTTTTGGACTTGACTAAATTAAGCCAAAATTGAAAATACCCACAATAGTTACAAATATGTAACAATATACAATGTGTACATCACAAAGCTGCCTTTAAAGGTTTGTTTATTGCAACGACACAAACTAATGGCAGATTTGTACACATGCTTAAACACATGACAAAAGGTTGTTGTGATGTTTCTGGCTTGTGCACTACACCATGCTTGGCGAGTTTCACGAGTTTCATTTCTCTCCGCGAAAAAGGTACAAACAGTTAGAGCTTCTGCTTTTCGATGGAACTTACGGTTCTAATTGTGTAACCAATCACTTGACGTACCAGGGCGAGTGTGTGCCTTTGCTCGTGTGTCTTCCTATGCGGGAGATATCGTTTTTGCATAACGTCCAAACCAGCACTTCCTTATGTTTCTGACTGTGTGTGGGTGTTTATCTGCATCTTCAATCAGCATCAACAGTTTGTGGTGTGCCTCTCTGTATACAAATGTACTTTAGGTGGTATGTGTATGTGATCTACTGCAGCACTGTAAGAAAATGAATGAGTGAAGAAGAGGTACAGTATCGGAGCTTGTGTAAATCCAAAACAACAAAGACAGGAGGGGAGAAAAAGATGGAGGGAGACAGAAGGTGAATCCTGCGGTTTGGACATCTGCAGAAACTCAATCACTTGGTGGCTGAAGGTGGAAGTTTTACCTGCCTACACACACATTTACAGTGCACCAGAGACAACAGAGACAGATGAAGGACAGCTTTTCTGACTTTTTTTTTTCTTTCCTGGAAGCACACCCTCCCTCAAACACACACACACTCACTCATATACACACCCCAGTGGATTCATTTGGCCACTCTGCCTCTCTGCCTTCCTCCGCCACCAACATCTGTCACCTCAGCAGGATCCAGACAGCTAATAAACATACAAACGTATGCTCGTGTGCATACACAGACACATATTATCTCTATTTCCCTCTCTCGCTCTCTGTCTCTCTCTCTCTCACACACACACACACATCTCCTTCAGTGAAAATAGAAGATTAATTTCGGTGCTTTGATTCTATGTGTCACTATTTTATCACCGTTTCCATGCACACCTGCGCCCACAGCCACCAAACTAAGGCGTCCTAATCTCTGGTATGTTTACTTACTTTTACGATTTCAAGAGACAGAACTATCTGCTGCTACTGATCCTCGTGCAATAATAAACCAGTAGAACTAAGACACCTGTCTCCTAAGATTTCCCAGGGCTATAACTTTCTTCGCTGCTAACAGCAGACAGCACGTGAAAAAAATGGAAGGAGGCCTGTGTGTGCAAGGTTCACCTCTGAATATTGCACACAGAGTTGGAAATCCCCAGCAAACACTTAAAAACATGCAGGTGCTCCTAAACATAATCTTTAACTTTTTAGCTTAAGGGTGATTTCTTTTTCTTTATTGCACTGTTCAAAGAGACTGTTAAAAATTGTTATCTTGGAAATCAGCTTGAAGCACATGTGTCCTTTTGCATCTGGTTATTTCCTTCACTCAGCAACGAGAAATCCAAATATGGAGTAAATATTTGTCTGCATGACAACTAAGTGCTTCACGTCCTTATTAATTTTTATTTTAAATGGAGAGAATACTGTGATGGGACATAATGAGAGGAGATTTCACGTCAACCAAAGAAGCAGCTTGACAAAGAGACACCAAAACACCAAGATTATAAAGCCTTTGAAAACGCTTCATTCTTTCAACAGTAACTTTCTATGTAAAAGTAAATAATCAGTGAGGTTATGGGTGATTACTAGCAGCACATTTAGAAAGTTTTGCTGGTTTGGGGCTGCTCTCAAACTGTCGTTCACTTTTACAGTCTGACTTGGTTTGGTGGGTTTGGGAAATTACAGTAATAGGTCAACATTTCCTGCTTCAAACTGTAAACAACCTACACGGCGGTGTGAAAGTCACATATTGAACTCTTTGAGAACTGCTGCAGTAAAAAAAAAAAGTCAGTTTTGACTGTGAGACTGTGAGAAACCTGTACATAAATAGCTGCATAATAAAGGGGAACTAACAGAGGTAACGCTCGGTAGCATTTTCTCTGCTGTCAGTTACGTTGGGAAAATAGTTTTATATCTTCCAGTCAGGTGTGTAGCTCTGCTGCGTGAAATGTATTTATACATTTGCTTTGCTCCTGTTTTCACAGGAGTAAAAATGCAAAAAAAAAAAGAGTCAAACACTGTGTTCACGTTTAATTACACCGGTGTTGTTCATTATCAACTGTCTAACAGTTTTCAAAATTTGCCAAAAAAAACTGTTAAACTACACCTATAGTACCAGCTTAGCGTGTTTTTATGCGTTCCATATTACCGTCTAATTACATCATAAATATAGGAAGCACAGTTGCTGTAAATTAAAAGCTTATTAGTGTATATTGCCTGTGAAAAAAAAACACATTAGCATAGTGCCTTACCTGGGCAATCCAATTCCCCTGTACGTTCTCATTGTAGAGGTCTGGAGTCAGTGAGGATTCCTCCAGTGTTAATTAAACTGTCTGTCTTGGAGAGAATTAAGGTCGTGATCTCCCAGACCTCACCACTCCCACACTCCCTGAGAAGAAAAGAGAGAAGAAAAGAGACTTAATGAAGGAATAAAAGGATGAAATAGCTTAATGAACCGCCTAACGAGGCCTGCGGCCGTTTAATAAGGGCTTATTAAAGCTTAATTAGAGCAATAATCCAGCTTGTTTGGAGTCATTCAGTGTTGACTTGTGGCTGATTATGTTTTTATGGCAACTGGATAAACAGGGAAGGGTTGACATTCCACAGGAAGGAAGACAAGTTCAACGGTGTGACTGGGTGTGCGCACGTCATCTTCCAAAAAAAAAAAAAAAAAACGATTGAAGGCTTCGAGTGATCCTTCCAATCACACGAAGGCCCTGCAGTCATCATCCAGTCACATGCTGACGTTTGATTTACATCCACCATCTAATTTGAACGCTCTCCCGTCTCCTCCTGAATGTCAAAACACCTACACCCAAAGGCGACCTCAATAAAAATGTTTATTCCAAGGTTCTCTTTGTCAGTCAGCGGTAGCTTCGTCATATATCCTTTCACATCCTTGTGCGAGAGCTTGAGCTCCGAGCACCAGATATGCCACTTAAAGGAAACACATGCTGCATCAGACTGAACCTCTACTTTTGCCCTCATGTGTCGGAACTCACCGGTTTACTGACTAATTACATAACCGCGTGACTACAAGATTCTCCTGTAAAATCCTGCTATTGGATCTCATATAGGCAAATGAGCCACATGCCTCGTATATCCCCCTCATGACTCAGTTGGCAGAGGCATTCACTCGCTGACTGAACCACAATGCATGGTGTTTTCTCCGCAGACTTCAGCGTGACTCGCTTGAATCACGCTTTGAGTCAGCGACCAGGCTACATTGTGCCTAAAGACACATCTAAAGAGAGCGTAAAGTATACAGGACACTTGAGGCAGTCAGTGTTCATTATTCATACAGTGATGCCATCAGTCCTTTGAGTGTATGCCATATCCTGCTGGTATGAGGATGCAAAAACTTTGTTCTCACTGCGAATCGCATCCGAATGATTCATTCGTATCAGTGATTCAGATTGTTAAAGCCCATAGGCCCTTTTATGGACTTCCAGTGGTCCTAACAAATAATGGAGTTACTCATCCTTCTTCCTGTTCATGTGAGGTGCCCCGATCACCCTGCTGAACAACCCTACATCCTGCCATAACATAGCTTTATGAAATGTGGGTTCAAATAAATGAGGTACCACGTGTAGCCGCCCTGACAAAGAGAGGTATTTTGTGCCACAGGATCTAATCGATGCCAAATAATGTCTTGATGTTTCCGCTTACAACTGTTGTCATTCTATGTTATATTCTACGGGGTGGTGTATTAAAATATACACAATGGATGCCAGATACACAAACTGGGACTTTATCAGTAGAGCTTTATGATGATTTTTTAAACCACACTTGAGGAGAAAAATAATGACATTATTAAGATTGATATCGTGTGTTTGTAGGGTGGTTGCTGGGCAAAATCACCTAAACATCTGTACAGAAATGTATGGAAAGAACTGACACATGTACAATATACCGTGTAGGACTCACACCTTTCGAGCATTGTGCTGGTGATTTCTGTAATGTTCTGGGTGCTGATCCAGGAGTTCCACACACATCTCTTTGACATAGTTGGCATTACCAGTAGGATTCATTTTACCCATCGCACACATGGTTTCAATTTATCACACCTGAATGATTCCCTGAAGCAACCGATGACAGGTGAACCTTTGCTTCCTGGATTTTACACGTTAGACTTTTAACCTTGAGCTCTCCAAAGAGGTTCTAATTTTTCAAATGCTTTCGACCCTCTCCTCCCCACCCCCCATCCCTTTTTTTTCAAATTTTTTTTTTATCAGTTTCAAGTTTTACACTGAGCTTCCACTGTCTGGGAATTATGTAATTTAGCCAGAGGGCAGACTGAAGTCACTCTCCACAGGGTTATTAAGCGATCTTAGACATTACCGTGTAGATACACTTGAAACATCGCAGTGGGATGTGTGACAGCATCTCGTGAAGTCGGTTTTTGAACCTTCACAGTCACAGTTCACGGGCCGTGTCTCTGGCACGTCTGCCGCTCTGCCGTAACACAATCGCTTCCATTCATTTCCAGAACGCCAAACAGCTGGTGATTTTTTTTTGCAGAAGGGCTAACGGTTTCCATCTTTGCCATATATTTTCCCTCTTCTAGACACATGTCAATTTTATGTCAGAGGATTAGGGATGGCAGTTATTGTTCTGCAGCGTGTGAATGATGTCAACTTTCCTACGGGGTCTTTTTCTGCGAGATCTAGACGGCAAAGCGGCTGACAAATCCTGCGAAGATGCCAACACATCACATCATTTACACAACTAGTTCCCTGCTCTTCAGCTCTGTCAGTTATACAATAGAGAGTTATAGGGGGGGAAAAAAGGAATGATGTCATCTTTCCAACAGGGCTTTAAATCTCGGAGTTATTATGCTGCTGCACTGAGCTTTGGGAGATGATGATGATGATGGCGGTTGGTGCTGATGATGGTGCTGGTCAGTGCAGTGGTCATAGTGGTGATGACAATGGTGATGTAATCTTCCCTAAAGCTTTTTCCCTTTTAGTTTAATAACAAGAGTAGCTCGCCACTTCTCCTTGGATAGAGCTGTAAAGAAGCAGTGCACATATGACTTCATCTTTTTTTTTTTTACTTCTTTTAATCAAACAAAAGTGTTGTTAAATGGTGTGAACGGGGGAGGGGGGTACGTCCAGTTGTAATAAGTAATGTACCTATTAATATTAATACTGTTAACTCACCACAAATTGGAGGAGAAATGAAGTTTGCTTTGAATTATTACACATTTTGTTGCTGTTCACCAGATAGGCAAATTCCACTCACATCAAATGGCTGTTCTCCATCACACAGCACACCAAGAAGAAACTTAATCCAACAAAAGTGAATACACCTGTGATCACTGACACACAAGTTTAAAAAAAACACAAGTCTCTGATCACTGAAACAAAAATTGAATACCCCTGTGGCTTCCAGTTGTACGTACATGATTATCACCTGCACCTTCTCAGTTTTGAACCTCCACACTGTGTATATCTACATGCTGATATCATGGTTCTAAATAGAAAAGAAATGCCAGAGCACTTTAAAAAAAATCAGATTTTGTGACTTCACGAAGATGGAAAAGGTTGGTAAACAACTAAAAATCTGTCAAAACTCCGTTGCAGCAGTTCTCATGGGATGTGAAATGAGCCAAAGTACCACTAATCAGGACCTCAGTGGCCATCCTTGTAAAATTACTCCACAGACAGTGGACTGCTTTCACAATCTATCTCTGAAAAACAGATGGGCAAGTGCTTCAGACTTGGCACAGGGGTTATCAATGGGAATTTCTGTGACAGCCCAGACAGTGTGAAGGACTGTGCTTTACGTGAACCTCAAAATAGAATCCTCGTGGGGGGAAAAAAAAAAATCCTTGTTTGGTTTTCGGCACTAAACTGTGAGAATAAACTTTGCTAAAAATGCATAAAAATGAGCCTGATGAATACTGGGAGCACATCCTTTGCTCAGACAATACATTTGCTCAGTTCAGCTGATGTCCAGCATGTTTGGCATGAAGTTGACTGCCACAGTGAATGCGTAGTTCCAGCAGTGAAGCCAGAGGTGGGAGTGTAATGATACGGGGTGGCGTTAGTGCAAAAAGTGTTGGGGAAGTGACTTTTATAGACACTATGAATGATTGTGGATATACCTAAATTATGGCTAACAAGATGGTTCCCAGTCCACAAAAAAAAACAAAAAAAAAACAGGGAAAACCATGACCTGTGCCCAGTATGTCACCTGACTTGAATGCAATAGAACAAAATGCAGAACATGTCTCCAGAGATTTGGTATCCTCCTGTTCAAAGAGAATTAAAAATCAAAAATAGTATTGAAAAAAGACTTGGAGAAAAATAAAATGATTCAAATCGTGATAATGACAGGTGTACTGACTTGTGCTGCATTCCGTTCCTGGTGCGCGACCTGTATTTTTAGTTTAGTCAATCAAAAATGTTAGTTTTTAATTTTTACACAAGAGCAAACACCTACGGTTCAGTTTAGAAGTAAAGCAGTTATTGAGAGGTGATACAGTTTTGAATCATTTGACATTTAGGTGATGTTTCATTGTATACTGTAACACAACATTTTAGAAAACTACTGCACTGCCTGGCAGTTTTTTCCATTAGACTTGCTTCTTGTGGCAAGGTGATTCAACTATTCAGTATCTAATTTAAATGTCTGCTCCACTTTTTAAAAATCCACAAGGACACAGAACGTCACTCAATTGTGAGCTGACACGTTGAAAGAAACTTCTGTAGCTACAATTATTTGACCGATCTTGTGTCATTACCAGTGTTTTGTTGAATAGAGCCCACATCCATTTGAGGAGTCTAAAATGTAGGCTCCACTGCTGAAGAGGCTGTCTGTCTTCTATTGCTCTGCTCAGCGCTGATGAGACACTGTGCTCACTGTTTGTATTCCTGTCAAAGGCAATTACTTCAACATGCTCAAGTTTCTAATGTAAGTGAATTACAGCATATCATCATCATCGTCTCCAGAAAAACTGCAGCCATCATTGTTTCCATTGTTTCCAGTCTCTCTTAACGTTCACTTATTTCCAAAGATTCCCTACTATTTTCCAGTTCCACCCCTGTGTGTTAGTTTTCAACTATAAATTATGTCACTCTGCCACTGGGCTTCTTACTCATTATGGCTAAACTGATAGCACATGCAGAGGAGCTTTAGCTGTTAAAGCATTTCAATAATAAACAGCTGACTAGCATTTCGACACAGAGCAGCTAACTGTGTCAGAGCTTTAAAATCGGGTATTGCATGCAAGACTTGAAGCCAAAAATCGATTGCTTTAGCAATGTTGTGGCAACACAACCACTACAGGCCAGACTGTCAGTATTTGATATTGTCACCCCTGCATTGAATCTTACCATCTATGGTCAGCAGTTAGTGGGAATCTCTATCTTTGTTTGTTTTCAT